TGAAGCGGAGGAGGAGGATGGGGAAGGAGAGGGGGACGATGAGGAGGGGGATTAAGCGGAAAAGAAGAAGGGCGAGGGGAAAGGGATGAAGAGCAGGAGGGCTAGGGCGAGAGGGGACGAGGAGGGGGAATGTAAGAGACAGTGGCGAGAAGATGAAACTGAGTGAAAGGGAAAACGCAAAGAAGAGACAGCCTATTTTATGCACTTTAAAGATTATGATGAAGAGGATCAATGGAACAACGACAAGGAAAGTCGAAGATGACTATTAGAAAAATAAAGTGAATTTCGTTTACTTGTGGACTTGCGGGGAAATGTCTCCGATTGGTAATTGTTCTGTACGCTACGACAGAGTATTGAGTCATCGGAGAGGGGTGCCATGTTGAAAATGTCCTGGGGTTGGGCTGTGTCGGCAGAGTTCGCGTCACTGTGAGCCACCTTACTCCTTCGAGGCTTAGACTTCTGCGAGGAAAAAAAGGGTGCAGAAACACCAGCATAACAAGCAGAAAACCAAAAGAAAACAAACAAAAAATGCATGCAAAATATGCGCAAACTCCTGTAAGAGAGCTGGGTATACAGCTCACAGACAAGAGGCATCTTTTTTTTTCTCCGCCAATGCGTGGGGGGTAACCCATAAGGGGGTGATCGTATAGACCCCACGAAAATTTTGAAGTCGAATAACTTAGATGATAAATTTAGATATAGGCATGAGTATTCACTTTCAACTCCTTTAACTGATTTGAGACGTTGACAGCAGAGACAACTTCCTCCATCGAGGATATTTGTCCGGTTATACACTAATTTCTTTGTGGCCGGCGTACGGTGCGTAACCTGCTGAACTTTCATCACTTGCGCTGGACTTTATTAGGATGATCGTTCGACCATCTGGCACCCTCCCACAGGCATTCACCTGTGCGCTCCCCAAGTGACAAATTGCCGGGTCTCGTCAAATAAGCCTCAACTTGGTAATTTGCGTCATTTATCCACACCGTTGCTGCGTGTCCGGCAACTCGCGTCTTCGAAAATCTTC